GTAACTATAAGAGATTTGGTAGATTATTCCAGCTTCAAGTAATTTTAGCACTTCTCTCTTGACCACGTTACACATTATAGGATTTATCCTTCTCAAATGTTCTCTAGAGGGTTTAGAACCTTCCTCTAGCATAATCTGGGGAGTACACACAGGCAAATTATACCCTTTAAGTCTGAAGTGGTATAGCCTAGAATTGCGGGATATTTTTGTAGGACTTCTAAATGTTGACTGGTTTCGTTACTGCTTAGATTTGCACTAAATATAACAGGACGATTAAGTTCTTCATCTAAGAATTCATATCTCAGATTCTTGGGTAATTCCTTAAGCTCTATTGATGGTTTCTTAGGACAGGGCATATGGTTAGGATGAGTGCTAAGCATTTGTAAAGACTGTCATCAACATATGGTGTCATTGATTTAAGTCCACCATCCTCCATTATGGAAGTTGGGGGAAGTTTTATTGTTGATGTGGGTGTTTCTGCATCTAACTCTTTTATGCACTAATCAATGATATCGATGGCACAACACAAATCATCTACAACACATGCTCTAAGTAATTTGGATAATATGATATCTACTTTTTCTTTACCTACTTCAAAGGTCATTTTTCCCTTTTTGACATTTATTATGGCTCCCACCGTTGATAGGAATGGTCTTCCTAGAAGAATAAGGATTTCTTTGTCTTTTTTAATGTCTATAACGACGTAGTTTGTTGGAATGTAAAGTTGGCCAATTCTAACTGGAATGTCTTCCAAATACTGATCGGATACTTAACTGATCGATCAGCTAGTTGAAGGGACGTCCTATTTTATTTTATGTCTCATGTGTCCAACCTATCACAAACAACTAAATGCATTAAACTAGCACTAGCTCCTAAGTCCAGTAGCGCTTTATCGATAACATGACTTCCTAAAATACATGGTAGAAAAACTTTCAGGGTCTTTCTCTTTTTTAGCTAACTTGTTCTTAGTGATCGAATTGCATTCTAATGGTTTAAGATCATCAAGTTTACATTTTTTGGTTAAGATATCCTTCAAGAATTTAGCATACGAAGGTATTTGGGTGATAGCTTCAATGAAAGGAATCTCGACGTGGAGTTTCTCAATCACTTTTACTAACTTCTTGTATTGGTTATCTAGTTTGGTTTGTTTAATCTTTGCGGGTATGTTATTGGTGGTTTATAAGGTGGTGGTGGTTTATAAACTTGGCTATCATCCTGTACCTCCTTATTCTTAACTTCTCCCCCTCTCTACTTCTCTGGTTCCACTACTTAGTTCTCGGGTGTACTCACAATGTTTTCCTTTGGGGCTCAGGTTTTTTTTTGGCAAGTTGTTATCCGACCTAGGATCCGCGTTTCCATCATATGTGGTTCCACTTTGTAGGGCAATAACATTAGCATGCCCTTTAGGGTTAGGTTGAGGTTATCTAGGGAATGATCCTCCTGGCATAGCCTGAGCAACTTTTTGTTGTGCTACTTGTGAGATTTGGGTTTCCAACATCTTGTTGTGTGTTACCACAAAATCAACCTTGCTGCCTAATTGGGTAATCAGTTCATTCATATGAATGCTCAGGTTCATGAATTCTTTATTTGGATGGGTTTAAGATGAAATGAAACTCTTCATGATCTTCTTGAGGTTGGATTTCTAGGAAGTAACTTGTGTAGGCTGGTTTAGTCTTTGAGCTTGGAAACCTAGTGGTTTCTGAGGTGCAGTATTTTGGGTAGGGTTATTATTCTTATAGGAGAAATTCAGATAATTCCTCTATCCAGGGTTATAAGTATTTGAATATGGGTTTCCTTGGGCATAATTGACCTGATCTGAGCTTGGTTTGGCTAGGTGTCTGCACTCAACAATGATATATCCTTAGGTTTCATAGATTTTGCATCCGGGTTAGGCTGCAGCTACGATAGTTGTAGGATTAGCGACTAAACTTTCGACCTTTTGGGCTAGGGCGTCCATCTTGGCATTTATACGACCTAAGAGACTTACTTCATATATACCTCCTTTAGTTTCCTTCTTTTCTACCGAAGCTCGTTCTGTCCCCCATTGATAATGGTTTTGAGCCATATCTTCAATGAGTGCACATGCTTCAGGGTAGGGTTTGTTCATCAGTGCACCATCAGCGGCAACATCGATGCCCATCTTCGTGTTATAGAGAAGTCCATTATAAAAGGTATGAATAATCAGCCATTGTTCCAGACCTTGGTGTACATGATCTTAATAGTTCTTTATATCTCTTCCAAGCTTCAAAAAGAGATTTGCCATCTTATTGAGTATATCTGGTTATTTGGTTTCACATGACAACAGTCTTGCTTGGTGGAAAGTATCTAGCAAGGTATACTTTCTTCAGGTCATTCCAAGTGGTGATTGAGTTTGCTGAGAGAGAATCTAGCCATGGTTTTGCTCTATCTCTAAGAAAAAAAGGGAATAGTCGTAGACGTATTGCCTCAGAAGGATTACTATTGCTTTTTAATGTATCGGCTATTTGAATGAACACTTGTAAGTGTTGGTTCAGATTCTCTGTTGGGAGACCAACAAACTTGTTTTGTTGTATGATTTGCAATAAAGCGGGTTTTAATTCAAAGTTATTAGCTGGGATTGTAGGGTTAACAATACTAGAGTGGGGTTCTTCGTTAGAAGATATTGCAAATTCCTTAAGCGGATTTCGGTATTGTTCTTCTACCATTACTCTCCTAATTCTTTGGAGCAAATGTCAAGCGTGTGCGTATCTTTCTGGTTCAGCTATTGGATCTTCTAAAGTTTCGGTACTGCGAGTTCTTCGCATTGACCGACAAAGGGTGCCTTAGTCTAGACAGTATAATAATTAGGATACGATATTTGACACAATTGGTCCCCGACAGTGGTGTCAAAAACTTGATGCATGTTATCCGCAAGTATACAGAGTGCATCAGAGTAATATAAAAGGTTGTCGAATCCCACAGAGACCTAATGGTCAATCTATCATATTCTATTGCTACAGTGTTTATCTAAGGCAATCGTAAACAAATTAGGGAATGGAAACAAAATAAAATAACAAGGATTTAATAAATTCAAAGATGCAATACTGAAATGTGGCTTTCGTCAATCAACAACACTCCTATTATTTCTAAATAGAACTACTTACGGGGCAATACTTTCTTCCAAGAAAAAGAGCTTAATTAAAAAGGAACCGTCACTTTTGATTTTTTAGAACCACATTTAATCTTTAAATTTACACCGTTCACTCACACGTAATCGGTTCCATACTGCGTTAAAGTAGAAAATCAGTTTTTAGTAATCACCTCTTTAGCTCAGTTGAAAAGTAATCTTGATTGGAAACTTTAACTTAAAAGGGTTTTTGGCATATGCTCGGCCAACCGGATTCTAAACCTATAAACGCGTCCGCAAATATTTTCAAAATCACATTCTAGTAATATTGAACTCTCCTAATTAATTAATAAAGTGCTTTCACGATTTTTATCTTAAGTATCAAACGAATTTCGATCTTCCCCGATGTGTCACGGTTCTACTTTCGTAGTAACCGATCAAATTAATTGCAGAAAAATGTATTAAAGTCAAAATAGACCCAAGAGTAATTTTTTAGAAACAACAGATGGAGTACCGTCGAAGCGACCGTCCTCACATTTCAGAACTGGCGAAATTAGCTGGACATGGTAACGGTAAATATTTTGGCTTTTGTTTGGAAAAAAGGTATTGAACATAATAGGTATATTGATTGAAATAAAGGGCGCGCAATAAAAGTAATCAGAGTAAGTGGTGCAGATAAAATAAATCAGAGTAACGTAATGCAGATAAAATAAACGAAATAAAGCGGTGCAAGAAAAGTAAACAAAGTAGAGCGAGAATTAAATGTGCAAGGAAGTAAAATAAAGCAAGTAAATGAACAAGGCGAGTAAAAGGTAAATAATGCTGAAATAAATAAGAATATGCTCCAATCGAAAACTTGAGTTCTTATACAATAGATAGCTTTGGCAAATTGTAAATCGCGGCAAGATTAAACAATAAAAAAAAAAGAGTGCTCTAAACTCAAATACAACAATGATGTAATAATCCTACAATGTGAAGAATTGTTGCTTTTATTAGTAAAATAATGCTAAATATTTTTCAAACCATAATTTTTAATTAAAAAAGTTGTATTGGCAAATCTATTCACTCCTAGATAGTTGTTTTTGTCTAACAAATGGAGTAACAATTATTATTTTTTTTTTAATTTTACAAAATTAAAATTAAATATTATTTTGATAATAAAGTTTATAATCACCAATAATTTATTTAAATTAAAATTATGAGTTAAATATAATATTAATTCATATAAAACATTAATATTTTAAGTGTTATTTAAAGTAAATATTAAAATCGTGAAAAGGTACGCGATATATCGGCAAAGGGAAACACAATACATACCGATACAAACACGCAAGTCAGTGATAAAATGATAGTTTAAAAAAAAAAACTAAAAACGAGAAAATACAAGAGAAGAAGATAAGAGGAGAAAAAAAACGAAAGATAAGAACGAAAATACACAAAACATTGTAAAAACCCTAGTTCGAAAATATCGCGATAAATTGGAAAAATCATCAAAATCTGCGATCTCCGTTTATCTCTCCGTCTGGAAAGCCCAAATCTCTCACTCTGTAAGCTCCAAATTTCTCGCTATCTTAAATCTCATGGATCTCGCTTTTTATATTTCGATTATTTTTCTATATCTCTCTAATCTACTTGCAACTGTTTCAATATTATTATAATTCGATAATTCAATTCCTTTGTGATTGGTCAAAACATTCAATTTAATTAATTCGATTCTCGGTGCTACCAGAAACCAGTAAATATTCAATTTTTCCGTTGAAGATTTTTGGTTTGTAATTAGATGTTATGTGTTTGAACGATCATGGTTCATCATTCTAGAGTGTTCTAATTCTTATGAGATTCTGTGATTTTCGTGTAAATTTTGTGTAGGTTATTCAAAATAGTATTCCACGAATAAAAACGTTTCTGAACCCTAAGTAAGTTGAATCTATTATATTCAGTTTTGAAGCCTTAATTTTTGGAATGTAATATTTTGTAATGGTAATAATTCAACCAATTTTTTCTGGTAGTGGTAAGAGAAAAAGATGTCTGTTGGGAATATGCAGAGAAATTAGATGGGAACAAGGTTAAATGTAAATTTTGCCAAAGAGTTTTAAATGGTGGCATTAGTAGGTTGAAGCATCATTTATCTCGATTTCCCAGCAAAGGAGTGAATCCTTGCAGTAAGGTCCGAGACGACGTTACTGACCGAGTAAGGAATATAATTGCATCGAAGGAAGAGGTTAAAGAAACATCCGTTGCGAAGAAGCAAAAAGCACCCGAAGTTAGTCTTTCTGCAACCAAAGCTCTTATTTCGTTGGAGACAATGACATCTCCTATTGGAAAGATGTTCCCTTCTAGCAATCCTATGACTCCCTCTTCAACAATCAACCAAGAGAATGCAGAGAGAAGTATTGCTCTATTCTTTTTCGAGAATAAGATAGACTTCAGTGTTGCGCGGTCTTCGTCGTATCAGTTGATGATTGACGCCGTTGGAAAATGTGGTCCTGGGTTTATAGGCCCGTCAGCTGAAATTCTGAAAACAGCGTGGTTGGAGAGGATAAAAACAGAAGTTGGGTTACAATCGAAGGATGTCGAGAAAGAGTGGGCTAGTACTGGTTGTACCATTATTGCAGACACGTGGACTGATTATAAATCGAAGGCCATTATTAATTTCTTAGTCTCGTCACCGTCCAGGATTTTTTTTCACAAATCAGTGGACGCGTCTGCATATTTTAAGAACACGAAATGGCTTGCTGATCTTTTTGATTCTGTAATTCAGGAGTTTGGTCCAGAAAATGTTGTGCAAATTATTATGGATAGCAGCTTTAACTACACCGGCATTGGTAATCATATAGTGCAGAACTACGGAACGATATTTGTGTCTCCGTGTGCCTCTCAATGTTTGAATCTAATATTGGAGGATTTCACCAAGGTTGATTGGATTAGTAGATGCATTTTACAAGCACAAACTATATCAAAGTTAATATATAATAGTGCATCATTGCTTGATCTTATGAAGAAGTATAATGGAGGTCAGGAACTTATCAGGACTGGGGCAACAAAATCTGTATCCACATTCCTGTCTTTGCAGTCTATGTTGAAGCTAAGAACAAGATTGAAGCATATGTTTCACAGCCCCGAATATGCATCAAACACTTCCTATGTAAATAAACCCCAGACTCTTTCCTGTATTGCAATTGCTGAAGATGGTGATTTCTGGAGGACAGTGGAAGAGTGTGTGGCTATCTCTGAGCCGTTTTTGAAGGTGTTAAGAGAAGTATGCGAAGGGAAACCAACGGTAGGTTCGATATACGAACTAATGACTAGGGCCAAAGAATCCATCCGGACATACTACATAATGGATGAGAACAAATGCAAGACATTCTTAGATATAGTCGATAAAAAATGGAGGGAACAACTTCATTCCCCTCTACATGCAGCTGCAGCTTTTTTAAACCCCAGTATTCAGTACAATCCTGAAATTAAATTTCTCTCTTCTATTAAAGAAGACTTCTACAATGTTCTGGAGAAGTTGCTTCCTGTGCCAGATATGAGGCGCGACATCACCAATCAAATATATACGTTTACGAAAGCACACGGAATGTTTGGTTGTAGCATCGCAAAGGAAGCTAGAAACACAGTTGCACCATGTAAGACGCGCAAAATGAAATTGTTATTTTAATGTCTGTCTTATGAACTGCCTTTGTTTCATTTTGGTTGGTTGTTATTTATTCTTCAAATTCATTGTTTATGACATGTAGGGCTTTGGTGGGAACAGTATGGTGATTCTGCTCCAGGGCTGCAACGAGTCGCCATTAGAATATTAAGTCAAGTTTCTAGCACTTTCTCCCTTCATAGGCAGTGGAGTACCTTTCGGCAAATTCACTCCGAGAAGAAGAATAAGATTGATCGAGAAACGCTGAATGACCTTGTTTATATAAACTACAATCTCAAGTTGAATAGGCAGATGAATGGAAAGTCTTTGGAAGTTGATATGCTTCAATTTGATGATATTGACATGACTTCTGAATGGGTGGAGGAAAATGAAACTGCAAGTCCAACTCAGTGGCTAGATCGTTTTGGTACAGCCTTGGATGGCAATGATTTGAACACGAGACAGTTTGGTAGTTCTATATTTGGCGCAAATGACCCAATATTTGGATTGTAATATTATATACCACAATTTGTACTCATATATCATAGCAAGGGTTGTTTAGTAGTTCTAGATTATTTCAATGTTTAGGCTTAATCCAAATTGGTCCATTGGACCCAAGGAAACGAAAAAGAAAAGAAAATTATGTTTTTCTCACGGGATTTTTTTTTCACCTTTTAAGGTGGGGTTCACACGAATGAAAAATTCAAAAATATCCTCAAGTGTTTTTTGAAATGCATTTTCGGATGCGTCTTAAATTTTCTCATTTTTCGTAAATTAAGTAGTCATTCTATTTTTGTCAAAAATTGATATGAATATGCATCTTTGAAATTTTCTGAGGTGAATTCGGAGATGCATTTTCGAAAACATCTTTGACCCCATTTACTATCTGTTTTTCATTGAAATTGCCGTTGTTGTCAGAGATTCTTTGTTGATTTTAATCAATATTAGAATCATAAGAATTGTATTCTTGCATTTTGTCTCATGTGTTCCTGCGTTTTTTGCCTTTATACAATCTAGCGTAAAAAACTCGGTTTTCTAGAAAATCGACTCAATCGAAATTTTGCCGTGTCATTACATAAAAAAAATTATGGACCAAAGTCCCGTATAAGGGATTAAATACGGGACATCACCCTAAAAATCACAATTCCTTGTTTTTCTATTTTTTATTTATTTATTTTATAACTTTATGTTTTTAAAAAAAAATTGAAAAAAAATTGTAGACTCTTAATTTGATTTATAGTTGTGTTTTTAGATTTTTTTTTCTCAATCAAAATTTGTTGGTATTTACATATTTGTTGCATTGTTGATGCATGACTATTAGATCTGGCTATTCGCATACACTCCATACTAAATTTATAAAAAAACACAACATGACACTTTACGGATAAGTGCTTTTGTTAGGAGGTTAGTTAGTTGTTACCGTGACAAAACTGGTAAAAGGTGAAACAATTTCTGCTGCAGTTTTTCGCAAACAACATGACAATTGAGCTCTATGTGTTTTTCATTGTGTGGGATGACGTGTTGACCGCTATGTGCTGTGCTGATTGACTATCACAAAATAATTGTGCAGGGGAAATAAAATTCAAGTTGAAATCTTGCAGTAGAAAAGTAAGTCATTGGATCTCACAAACTGTGGTGGCCATGACGTGGTATTCAGCTTTTGTTGACGATTTTGAAACTGTAGGTTGTTTCTTGGACTTTCAAGAGAGTGTATCACCTAGAAAGATGCAATAGTCAGATGTTGATCGTCTAGTATTTGGGCATGTGGCCCAATCGGAATCATAGAACGCCTTAAGTTGGATAAGTGAAGATGAAGGATAGAAGAGACCAAGAACAGTAGTTGATTTGATGTAGCGGATAACACATAGTGCTCATTCAAAGTGAACAATAGTGGGTTTTCTCATGAACTAACTGAGTAGCTGGAGTGAATAGGACAAATCTCGATGCGTATTTAAGGCAGATAAGTTGACCAACTAGTTGTCTGAATGGTGTAGGATCTGGAAGAAGGTCACCAGAATCCTGCTGAAGTCGGGTGTTGCACTGCATAGGTGATGAAAGTGGCTTCACAGCAAGCAAACCTGTAACAGATAAAAGGTCTAAGGCATATTTTCATTGGCATAGATGAATACCAGCACGAGAACTGGAAATTAATAGTCCTAGAAAATATTTTAAGTGACATAGGTCTTTGATTTTAAAAGTTTGATTCAAAAAGGACTTTATGAAATTAATTTCATTGATATCGTTTCCATCTAGTACTAAATCATCTACGTAAATCAACAAGGCAGTAAAAGAAATTTTAACATGTTTGATAAAAGAGATGGGTCGGAGGAGGATTGGATGTAATCCTTACTAGTTAAAACAATGGTGAGTTTAGATAATCATTGTTTGCTAGATTTCTTTAAGCCATAAATAGATTTAGTTAGTTTGCATACTTGGTTAGTTTTGGAAGAAGAGAGTCCAGAAGGTAAATGCATATAAACCTCTTCTTCCAAATCACCATGTAAAAAAGAATTATGCACATCGAGTTGGTGCAAATACTAGTTTTGAGAATAAGCAAGGGCTAAAAGCAATTTAATAGTGGTTAATTTAGAAACATGAGAATAAGTGTCCAAGAAATCAATACCTTCAATTTGGTTATAACCTTTAGCGACTAAACGAGTTTTATAGCGTTCAATTGTGCCATTCGTGTGGTATTTGATCTTGTATACACATTTACAAATAATGGACTTCTTACTTGGTGGAAAATTAGTGAGAATCCATGTCTTATTGAGGTTTAAACTACCAATGATCAGTTTGGGCAGCCTATTTATATGTGTGCGGTTCTTGGTTAACCGTGATAGTAGAGATGTAAGAGAGATGTGAAGTAGATAAATTGTCATAAGAAAGAAAGTTACGCAAATGATAAGTAGCATTAATGATGATATTATAACATTGGAAATCATGCAAGTAAGCGGGGTTTTGGAAATCCGAATTGATTTCCTTAAAGTTTGTTCTTCCACATGTGTTGGTTCCTCCCCAAATGTTGGTTCATTAAAATAACAATTGTTAAAATCAGTTTCAAGTGTGGGAGAACTAACATGTGTGATGTTATTTATGGGAGCAGAGTGGAAGAGTAATGTTATGATTGAGAAAAGAATCATCAGAACAGACAGGATCAGTAGTGTCAATAATGTGATTCTCTACCATGTTTGTGGTATGAGCCTTATAAGGAAAAATATTTTCATGGGAGATAACATTTCTAGAAATGAAAATATTATGTGTTTGCAAATAAAAAAGAATGTATCCTTTAGTTTCAAATTTATAACCTAAAAAAAGGACACTTCCTTGCTTTAGGATCTAGTTTGTCTCGCTTTTGCGTTAATGTAGATGCGAAAGAAAGATAACCAAAGACCCTTAGGTTAAGGAAGATGGGGGTTGATTGAAAATGATATTATAAGGTGTATTATGGTTGAGAATAGTGTGGGAAGATTATTAGTAATAAAAACAACATGTAATAAAGTGTATGACCAAAAACATTTGAGGAGGTGTGATTGAAAAAGTAAAGCTCTAGTAGCATTTAATAAATGGTGATGTTTTCTCTCAACAATAGAGTATTTTGGGGTGTTTTTCCACACGAAGTTTGGTTTAAAATATCTAACGAAGAGAATAGAGGTTGCATTTTGAACTTTACTCCATTGTCACTCCTAATGGTTTTTACTTTGGCCGAGTATTGTGTAGAAATGAAGTTTAAAATTTTTTCAATACTTGCCTTATTTTCAGCTTTGTTTTTCATCAAAAAAATCCAAGTAAAGTGAGAGAAGTCATCAATAGAATTAGTGTTAATAAGACCTCATATGTCCATATGTAAAAGGTCAAAACAATTAACAGAAACAATGTGACTATGGGGAAAGGGGAGTTTGGTTTGTTTGGCCATATATGGCAATGATCACAAACAATATTTTATTACCATAAATCTATGAAAATCGAGTACATAATCATTTTAAAACATGATCATATGGGTGTCCTAATCTAAAGTGTCATTTATCAAAGGTAATAGCAGGTGTAGATCTTATAGTATTATTGACAAATTGATTATGATCAATGGTGACATTGTTGGTGGCCCTTGATGACTTGGAATCCATTAGACTGCGGCCCTTTGGAGAACACTGTAAAATGTAAAGGTTGTTGAGTAATCTAACATGTCCAATCATTTTTTGGGTAGACAGATCCTGGACGTAACAAGAGTCAGGAGAGAAAGTAAGTTTACAGTTGGGTTGTTTAGTAAGTTGTGAGATGGAAATTAAGTTTAGATGGAACTGAGGTAAAAACAACACATTATGCATAATGAAGTGATTTGAAAAATTGAATTGTGCCACATTAATATGCGAAGATGATGCTACCATTTAGAAATCACATGCGAATAAGTTTAATTTAAAAATAGTTTTAAATGAATGCAAATGAGGGAAAACATGATCACTAGTCCCCGAGCCTAAAATCCAAACAGAGGGTAAAGTTAGGGTATTACCGAGTTTATGGATGCTTGAGACAACGTGATTAGTGGGATCTGCATTAGTCTGCTTGTTGTTGTTGGATGATTCTGATCTTGATGATTTCAGAAGGTTCACCGGGTATTGGTATTCTTCTTTGGAGAGAGAAAGGTTGATGTCATTGTATGGGGGTTCTTAGCGTTGTTGCTTATAGTCATGGAGGGTGTTCTTGAGTTGGATGGGTCGGTTCTATCTGTCTGGGTTTTAGGGAGATAACTGAGGGGAAACCCATGTTTGAAATATCATCGGTTGATGGTATGATTTGGTTTGTTACAGTGAGTGCATAACATTAGTGTACGGTTACCTCTGCCTCTACCCTTAGATTGGTATTTGTGGGGGTTGGTGTTGATAGAGAATGTTGTGGAATCCAAAGACTTGTTAGAGGGATCGGAATCCTGTTGAGATACAAGAGATTAAACCTTGAAAATTGAGCGGAGAGGATTCATAATGAGGATCTAGGTACGGACATTTGCATAATTTCCTTAGAGACCCTTGAGGAAGTAAATTATGTACTTTGTGTTCTTAAATTCTATAATAGAGGTTGAAAGTGAGCATTTGCATTGAATCAGACAAGAACAAATCGAAGAAGGTCGAAGATCTTCCAATTTATCCCATAAAATTTTCATGTCAATAAAATACACCGAAAGAGTGCGATCACCTTGTTGAATAGAATGAAGATAACAGAGAGGATCTGAAACCTTAAAGAACTTACCTTTGGTGAATCAATCTTCAAGATCTTTCCAGAGTTCAAAGGCGGATTCGATGGAGATTATTCTCTAAAAGATAAGAGGATGGTGTCTGAGTGATTCAAGAGATAACCATGTTGTTGCATCTCTCCTAAATGTAACGCCCGTTTTATTTTAATTATTTTTTGTAATTAAAATTAGGTGATGTTATTTGATTGTATGTGATTATTTGTGTTTTATTATGTTGAGACACCCTGTGGTAGGGGTAGTGACCTTAGAATTAATGACTCTGAAGGTGAGA